CATTTTTGAGGGTGTTAAGGAATGAGGAGGCCTGTTTAGCTTTGGCACTTGGCCTCCTCCTCCTAATTTCTGAATAATTAAAAAGTAGGAGAGAGTGAAATCTCTTAAGGGCTGGGGGGGGTGTGTGTCCTCCCCCCACCATCAGTAAGAGCGCAAGAGTGACCAGAGTGGAAGCACGAGGGGCCCTTCGCTGCCCCTGACCAAGGAGGATGGGAAGGAGGGTGGACCAGTGGGAAGCTGGAAGCCACCCTGGAGCAGGGCAGTGCTTTGTTCTGTGTGTGTGCTCGTGGAGCCCATCAGCGAGTGGAAATATGTGCTAGTGAAAGCCTTGGTGGGGCTGATGCGGGGCTGTAAGATGGCCTCTCAGACGTGTGAGCCTGCCTTGTTTGGAGGTGGAGAAATCACAGAGGGAATAGATGCGTGCTTGTTTCCCTATATAAAGTTACGTCTTTAAAAATAATATGGTTGCCACACTTGAAAACCTCCCCTGGGCGTGGGGGGGATTTGAGGCTTCTTGTGTTATAGGGAAAGGCCTGTGCAGTGACAAGACCATGTCCCATTCACAGAGGGTGAGGGGACATCTTCTGTGGCCTCCTGCCGGGCACTAGAGCCCATGGAGGGCCTTTCCCTGATCACCAGCTCTTCTGCAGACAGGCTTCAGGGATGGGGGGTGGGCAAGGAAGGGGATCCCTGCAGATTTGGGCCTGGGATGGAGGTTCCACATTCCAAACCCTCCCTTCCCCACTCTCTCTTTTTTCTTTTTTTTTTATTAACCCTGCCTGGTTGAGGAATGTAACAGTAAAAAAAAAAAAAAAAAAAAGGCACTGGAGGAAAGCAAAGAAAAAAAAAAAAAGAGAGGGGGGGGATTCGGAAGCAAAGGCCCCTTCAGGAGTCTGTATTTGTGCAAGGGAAACCATTTGCATGTGTGTGGAGATGCCAGAGTTTGTCTCCAGTTGGGTCGGAGGGGGAGGGCGCGGGAGGAATGCGGGGAATCAGGTCGGGCTGCGGGGGGAAGGGCTTCGGCAGAGCCTCCATCCTGTTGTTGCATAAACTTGTTAAAAGAACCCCTCCTCTGTGGAGGCAGCACACATAGGGTATTAGTGTGGTGGAGGAGGCCAGACCTGCGCCCTGGCTACACAACCAATTGGAGCGGAAAGTGAAATCAGATGGTTTAAGTTTTCAGAGGGATTTTTTTTTTTTCAGGGGGACGTTTTGAGTCATTGCATTGAGCGCTAGAGCTGTGTTAAGGTCGCTCCTGCTCTCGCTGCTCTTGGGTGGTTTGGGGAAGGGAGGTGGCCGGGGGGGGGACGACACAGGAGGTGCTGCTTCCCCTTGTGTGGTGCCTGGGCTGGGCTGTAGAGACGAGCTTGGGGCCCCCTGAGAACTCACAGCCCTGCCCTGAAGGCGAAGGATGGGCAGTGTATGGGCAGCAGTGCTGTGCAGTGAGGGGAGCCTGTCCCCCACCGCGGGGAAGTTATCTGGAGACCCTAAGACCAGCCCCTTATGCGCGCCTTCCCCAGCCAAGGCAACCACAAGACCTTCCACTTGCCCTGCGGTACACTGCAGGGCCAGAAGCAGATCGGCACTTCCAAGGTGATAGGGTTTAGCCCTATTTTGCTCTTACATTTAGTACTATAAGTCTTTCTTTTTTTCCTTTTTTTTTTTTTCCATCAGACAGCAGAGCGCTGGTAAACACCATGCAGAAAAGCCGTATTGTGGGGTTACAAAGTCTAGGCTGTTTAAGGAGCTCTGTCATTCCTTTTAATGGAGCTCACTGACGCAGATCTGGCTTCTGCCAGCCGAGGAAATATTGCTGCTGAGAAAAGGGTTATTGAAACCCACAAACTAAATATTATAAGCAAGAATCAAATGACAGGACATTCTGGAGTGTAATCCCTCCTGATTTCAGGAGAAGGGGAACGTGTTGGTAAGTGGCCATGGGTGACAGAATCCCCAAGCTCGGTGAGTGAAACGCTCTTGGGAAGGTGGCGTTTTCAGAGAGGATTATCAACCCTTACTCTCTGGAGTCTCTCACACCTGGACAAGTTGACTCTTGCATGGAAGCAAGAATCCCCTTTTTCTCTGGATGGATTTGTACAAACTTGTTGGATAGACTTAAGGAGCCAGGACTGGAATGCTAAGAATTTTCTCTCTCTTAAAAAAAAAAAAAAAAAGAAAAAAAAAAAAAGAATTAAAAAGGCAACACTTCCCAGCTTTAAAACAATGATAAAATTATTAAATAGAAAACTCTAAATCAAATCTCAGCCTACAGCTGTTTCCAAAGTGTTTGCTCTGACCTTTGGTAATGGTGTCAATTCTGCTGCAGAAAACATATTGTAGACTATATAATGTATTTAATTGCGAGATGGCTTTTAAATGGTCTCCTTTCCTCAGGCTAGCAAAATGGCTGTGGCCAGGGAAGCAAGGCTGGCCTGCAGCTCTGCTGCCCTGTTATGTTTTGTGAGGTTGTGACTGAGAGAAAAATTTAAACAACCCGATTGCCCCAAGTGGCATCTTTAACCACAAGAGAAACAAACAAAAAAACAGCAACAAAGGGAAGGGGAAATGGCTCCCTAAACCAAGCAGGGAAGACAGGGTCTGATCCCACAAGGAGCAGAGGCCTCTGAGCTCCAGCGAGTCAACTCACTACTTTATTTATCTCAAAGCTTCATCGCAAGGACACTTCCAGTCTATTTGTCTGCTAACATCAGAAAAGGGCGGCTTAAACATACAGCAGTGACTCCACTACAGTAAAAGATTCCCCCCATCACACTGCCAAAAAAACAGCTTCCATTATTGAGCAACATATAAAGTGTTATTTCCATACTAGTCTGGGTGACATTTCCATTTAGTTTCTATAACTGTGATTAAAGCCGAGAGAGGTTTCTAAACATATCTAGAGATGCTGAGCCTCCTGGTGTATAAATAGCATGCATTTCATAATCTCGTGTTTAAACGTTTATTTTAAAATAACCCCCATATACATTCCAGAGGCTCCCTGCTATAGGGCATGACATGACCCAGGATTTGCATATTGTTTGCAGACTGGGGGAATATTATTGAGTCAGTCCTGATTTTTCTTGTCTTGTTAGAAAAAAGAAATAGGGGAGGCTGGGGAGTCCTGTGCCAATACAAGTCCACTTGGAGATAAGGAAATTTTTGAGACACATCTAGGCTCTCAGCACAAATCCAGAAACATAAAGTAATGTAATTGCCTTTGCTTGGAACTTAAATTGTGGCTGACGTTTCTAATTACATCCTTTACCCTCTCCTGCCAGTTGTAGCTTCTGCAACTACTGAAATGCTTAAGTTGTGTAGAAATTGTTAAATGGTGCTACACACACACACACACACACACTATTGGTGCATTAGTAACGTCGCTTGATGTGCAGATTGTATGTTTCCACTGTAAACTTGCCAGTGGGTTTGTCTCTTGGGGCATTGGAGAAGTTAAATTGTGTGTATTAAGTTTAAGTCTTGTTTGAGATAACATCAAGGCTGAAGAGTGGAAAAGACATGGTAAACAATAAACAAAATAGAGACTGGACGGGAATAGATGGAAAGGTAAGGCTGAGCCTAGTTGAGTCTTTTTTTTGTGTGTGTTCTCAGTCCAACTGGATGTCTAGGTTGCAGGGGTAGTGGAGAAGCAGTGGCAGGATTAAACCTGAGGTTTTGCCAAGGTAACAAGAATACAGAAGTTTTATCAAACTCATTCTGAGCTGCTTACAGCCATCTCTGTGAACACAGCCTTTTAGTTAGCACAAGCAAAGGTTAATACAAATAAATAATGTGGAAAAAGATCCCTGTTTGCTTCCACAAGCATCACAAAGTATGGCGAGAAGGAAGGGTTGGGGCAGAATGGAGATTCTGTTTATCAGTCCATTAGGAAAACCACACAATTCAATGGAGTTTCCCCTGTTCCCCATTCTTTGTCATGTCCTTGGGGTTTGGCTGCTTTGGGCAAGTCAGGCAGCATCAAAGAGAATGCAGGGCTGCCTCACACCAGCATGCCAAATGCCAGGGATCTCCAATGGCAAAGACCAGATCAGTGTGGCGTGGATAAATTAGCCAGGACTCTATGAATTAGGGGATTGTCTCTCCATTACACTCCTATTTAATCCACTGGAAAGCAGGCTGAGGAAAGAGAAGCTTAAAGTGTCAAAATCGTGACCTGGTGTGGGATGACCTGGGAATGAAGTTTCCTTCCTCCTCTGGACTCTCAAGCATTCCTACGTGACAAATGCATTGGGGCAGGTTAACTGGGAGCCAGGTTGCAGAGCAAGAGCCTAAGTTGGCAGAGCACCTCTGAAGCTGGAGGTGTCTTGCTTGGCCCCTCCCTGGGAATCATTTCTATGGCTGTTGGTGTGTTCAACACGAAGACAGCCCTAGCTGAAGATTTCTGTCCCTAGGACAGAAAGGGGGGGGGGGGGGGAGAAAAAGCCAAACAAAACAAGCTAGGGCAAAACACGCGTGCGTCTCTAAACACTGTTTAATCTGTATGCAATAATGTGAAGTCAGTGCTGGAAAGCCAGCCCTGGAGATCCTGTTTCACTTTCTAATTTTTGGTGTGTACTTAATCCTGTGATTTCCAATGAAGGGAGGGATATTTTAAAACACTGGGCTCTCCAAGTAGGACAGCCCTAGAAAGGAAGTTCTTTAAAGGTTTGATGCCTGTTAGTAAGAGGTTCAAAATCCAACTATCAGTTAATCAAATAAATATCACTTCCCAGCCTCTAACAGGTAACTGAGGTTATTAATAAAGGAGAAAAATTCACAGAGAAGAAGAATGTGAGAACTGGGGATGGAGGTGTCAAAACCTGGATAAAATCCACACTGCAGTTAAATATGCCCTGGGAGAAAGGGGTAGTGCCCATGCACAGATTCTGTGGGGTCAGAGGTTTACTCCAGTCCTGCATCCCCACCCTCCTGGGAGCACATGGTGCTGTGATCCATAGGGCAGTGCACTGCTTTCTAACTTTTTACCCCTTCCCCATTTGCAGGCATGGAATGAAGCTCCCTCCAGTCACCTGCTGCAAGACACATTATCCAGCTTCCTAACCTTAAGGATGAGACCCTATCAATATTGCCTCTGCTTTTGTGATCAGGGTAGTAGTGCAATATTGCTTATAGGGTCTTTTCTTTTGAGGGTTATTCATCACGGACAGAAGAAAGCCACAGCGGGAAAAAAATAATACTATGTGCCCATCGAGTTAAGGGAAAAGTTGTGAAATGCTGAGCGCTGTTAGATAGGCAAGTAACTGCAGAGATGGTTTTTGTGACAAATAATCGTGCTATTGTGGTGACTCCGGTTGTGAGTAATGGGCATATTTTTGATGCTATCACACGGGATTCAAAACGGCCTCTTGTCTAAAATGCACAGGAATGATTGAAACCGGAGAAACCCATCACGGCTCCATTTTAAAATAGTATGAGTCCCGAGACATTTGAAGGGTGCCTGTTTTACATAATGATGTAAACACCCACCAAGGGATGGGAGGAGATACATAGCCACACTTGCTGTTTCTGTGCCTGATCCCAGCCCGAAAACCGGTGGTGATGCGAAGCAGAGCACAGCACAAAGAGACAGAGGCTTTAATCCCAGTAACCTCCTCGAAACAAAGCTCATGCCTCCGTTGGCGAGCAGGGCCCGCTAGCTACAGATCTGGGCTCAGTGGCCGGGCCGGGCGCTGCCGCCGGGGGCTGCTCCTGGGTGCAGCGGGGCTGGGGACGGCCTCCGGCCCTTCCCGAGAGCTGCGCACCGAGGTACGTGGGAACGGAGCCGGGATAGGGGTGTTCAATCTCCTCTGCTTTGTGAGGGATCAGCTGGGGGTTGACAGCAGCTGGGATGGCCGAGTGGGTGGCCCTGCCTTCCATTTCAGGTGGTCCCCGCGGTCCCTTTCGGGACCTCAGGGGCCCAGGGAAAGGGTTGGTGGGAGGGGACTGGAGGCCGGATCAGGGCGCGGCGGAGCAGCCGCTGCCGCGGAGGTTTCTGAGCCGGTTCCCCGGAGGCGCTTCTCCCCGCGGCTCGCCTCGCCTCGCCTGCCCGCGGGCGTGCAAGAAAGGGTCCGAAGCCCTACGGCGGGGCCGTGCCCGCTGCCTCCCCATTGAACGGCTGACCCTGCCTCTGCCCTCGGTTTAAATCCACCTCCCCAGCATCATTCTGGGGGGAGGCGTCCAGCTCGGGGACAAAGCCAGGATCGCCCCCCGGGCTCTCCCTCCGTGCACCCGGCCGGGCTGCAGGCCGAGGGGCTGCCGCGGCTGCTGGGCCAGCGCTGGGACCACCGGGCGGGCTGCCCCTCTTTCCCTGTTGCACTACTGTCACGGTCGCAGCGAGCAGTGCAATAATGAAAGGGCGTCAGTGCGCCGGGGAGCGGCGAGAGCCGGGGACGAGCCGGTGACAGCGTGCGGGGACGGGACGTCCCGCCGCCCCCCCGAGAGCCACCTTAACGGAGGAAGTGGGGGGGTTCGGTTGTGCAACTTTCTTTGTTTAAACACGCAGCGGCGGAGCGTGTGCGCGCAGGGGCAGGGCAAGGTGAGCGGCTCCGCGCACCGCCCTGGCCTGGGCGCGCGGCGACTCCCGTCCCACCGGCCCCGGCGGAGCCCGGCCGTGACGCCCCTCCGCTGTGCCCGGCCAGCGGCAAATAAATAAAGTGACTCCTACGTCCCCTGTCGCTGCCTTTTCTTCCTGGTGGGTTTTCTTGCAGGTCTCCAGCCCCTCCCGCCTCCCCCGCAGCCACAAACCCCCTCGACAGGCTTTTGTCCGGCGATCCGGTGTGCTACGCGCCCGCTGGGATTGGTGGGGAGAGGTTGGAAACGCTAATAGGAAAACGAGCTTCTTCCTTCACTACGGAGCCCAAAAAACGGACTCGAGTCATGCTCTGATGCTGTGTTCAGCGATGGAGCACGGGTAGGAAAGCAAGCATGTGGGGTGGGAGGGTTAGGGTTTGCAATAACGGAGCTGAGAGCAGCACTCTGCATCTAGGAACTGTGCTTGGAAGGCCAGGAAATAGCCCTTTGATTATTAGTGGCCATGGTGAAATGGATACTTCTGTAAAAGAGAGCTGGTGAGGGGTATTTTCTTTGGCAAAGGACCTTTCCACTCTGGCCTTTTGAACCTGTGCTTCTCCCTGGCACTGTTTCTGCTTCATCATGACTTTTTGCAGAGGAAGGTGAATGCAGAAAGCAGGCAGGCTGTGGAAGAGGGGATGCAAGCTACTCCTGATGAAAAGGTTTTTACAGTCTATGCTTCATTTCCTATTTCTTTTGGATTCTGTCTTCTGTCCCTCACACACACAAGCAGATAAAAAAGCCGAATCCTTCCCTGCAGTCTTTCTCCCAGGGAAAAGTCAGCCCCCTCCCCAGCTTCACCTTCAGGCATTGCGCACACAAAATGGCTGCAGCAGCCTGTGGGTGGGCATGGAGAGCTCAGGAAGCCGCTTTTCTTTTTTCCCCACCCTGCCTGCCCAGGAAGCCCTTCTGCTTTTATTTTCTGTGGCATTTTGCTCTTGCATAGCTCTGTGCAAATCCAAGGGGGTCTCCTCTGTGTAATCTATGCATGGAATGGGAGCTGGGGAGGGAAATGGCCAGTTTGCATGAGAAGGGGACCTGTCGGGCCCCAGTGTTTATTTTTTTGCTGACCTTCTGGGGATATGGTCAGTGAGAGCTGTGACAGCTGCTGGAAGCGGCAGGGGCTTTGAAGATTGTGAAGGTTGTGACCTCGAGGCCCCTTTCCTCTCTCTGTCCCAGGAGCTGCTGAGTCAATCAGGGAAAAGGGGAGGTGAAATGGGGGCTGCTCTTTAGCCATTTTTCAATCGGTGAATGAAACAGGAAAGGACAAATGCAAGAAGAAAAAAAGAGCGATTACTTCCACTTTGGTGCATTACTGAGAAGGGGGAATCTCTCTTTGGCAAAAGATTATAACAATAATGGGAAACCACTGTGCTCCTAAGATCCAGCACCTTGAATAAAGGATTTAACTGGGCAAGGAGCTGATGGCAGATCAATAACAGTAAATTAGGGGAAAGCCTACAAGCTCTTCTTGCTTCAAAGCAAGAGGAAATCCACCTCTTATTTCCACCTGATACCAGCTCTAGATAAAGCAGCAGGAACACATTCTCAGTTGGTCTGCTAGCTCCCACCATCTCCTTGACCCTACACTAACACGTCTTCATCTGTGCTGAGCTCAGCTGAACCTTATGGCTGAGGTTGCAGAGGCCACTGAGACCTGCTGCACCACACATGCCAAAATAAAGGGACAAAGTGCATTGTGCAAGGCTCTATCCTTGATGTGCATGTGCTTTCAAATGGCTTAAGCTCCCTTGGCAATCCACAGCGCTGGGCAACCCAGGAGAGGGCCATCAGTCGGCACCAGAGCCCTCTCTAAGCCCAGTGAGTGGAGTTTAAGTCTTTTTCACTTTCTGGATAACATGATCCTATGGATTTTTCCTTTTAAAATAGTAATCAGAACAGCAAACAGAGCGCCTGGCTTCGGTTGACCAATACACAACAGAAGCAAGGAAGGCAAACAGCAGGCTTTTCAGTTAGTTTACACAGGGGGCACTTAAATACTGTATTGGTTACATAATACCATTTGGGGGTTGGGGTTTTACACATTCTTCTACTAAATATATCTATGAGATTTGTTCTAAAGTGATCAACATAAATCCAGACACAGCTTTAATGGGAAAACTCCTGTGATTAGACCCAATACCACTAGGTAGCTCGAAGCACATCTACTGAGGACTAAGGCACAATAGAATTTTCCCCTGGACCTGCTATTCAGCAGTGTGCTCATTCTGCTATGGTGGAGGGTGTAAGCTGCTCTAGAAGGGCTGCCCTAGACAGCAACTTCCCTGCAGGAAGCACAAGCTGCTGGGTTTTAGGGCCATATCCTGCCACCACTTCACATCCATTCCTCAGGATTCATCCCAGCACAGACTGAAGACAGGATATGTTCTGGCAATTACGACAAAAGTGCTATGCAGAGGAGGAGGCATGTGAAAGGAAAAATAAATCTAAATCCTAGCTGTGAATGATTATGGAAAAGGTATTCACTGTCAACTCCTCCAGAAAACCCTTTTCATGTAAAGTACGTAGAAGTATATTCTCTTCCTGACAAGCCCTCCAGTAAGCATCTTGCTCCCATCTAAAGAGAGTGGCAGGTGGCCTAACTGCTTCACTGGAGCCTTGACCATGGCATTATCCACCTAGCTTTCCAGCTGAAGACTGGGTCAATCTGTACACAACTTCTGAGATTCCTGCTATACCTTTCCTGGGAATGGCAGCTTCCCCAGGCAAAGCCTGGATCTAACAGCCCTGCTTCCCTGCAAAGGACCTGTCCCTCTGATCAGAAGTGAACAGATGGGAAGAAGAGTCTCAAGACATCAGAGCTTTAAAATCGTGCTCTTTAGTGTGTTGTCACCAGAAGCTCCACGGGCAGGGATCTCTGCCATAAGGAGCTCGCAGAACAGCGGGTGGGTGGCTAATTGAAAATGGAAGTTCCTTGGGGCAAACCAAAATAGTCTTTGTGGCACTGCATGGAACTAGGTACGACACGACATGACGCCTGGGTTCAGCATCAACCACTGACTCAGTACAAATCCTGCTTCCTCACTCACCTGGGAGGTGGCAGAGCTTGTAAACCTCCTTAGATCTTGTCTTGCAAACCTCCTTTGGCACACAGATCAGGTGATGATGATAACCTGCTGTGCACAGTGCAAACTCAAATGTACCATTTTGTATGGTGTATGTAATAAGCCGAACACTTTAGAGTCACCTGCTACTACTACAGCAAATGACACACCCCTGCTTCCCTCAAACACTGATCTGCTGAGAAGCAACACCCTTGCCAGGAATCGCTACATCTTTGCAAAGCAGTTTGCCCAATCAAAATCAGTCGGGAGTTACAGCGAGTACCATCGCATAGGGCTAGAAGACAAACTGGTTTGTTCCTTCACAGTGAATCCCCATCATATTTCAGAACAAGTTTAGGGTGACAGCAATCTGGTTTTACACAGACCACCAGCAGAAAATTCCAATGCTTGGTTTTTCCTTTTACAGAGGTCACACCTTTAGCATACCTCTAGATTGTTTTTTAAGAGGTCAAACAAAAGGGAGGCTTTTGCTCCTAGAACAACATTAAAAGACTCCCATCCCAAAGGAACAGAGAATCTCTAAACAGCCGTAGAAAAGTATGGAGGCCTCCTTCATGAGCAGCTGTTACAGACACTAAGTAAGAGCAAAGCTAAGGATTCCTCACTGCAACACCCCCAAACACCAAGTGATTCATTTAGGGCATTTATAGAAGCGTTTGGAGCAAGTGAAAGGGTAGTTTTGATGTTCTATTGAACCTCTGGACAAATTCTCTGATCAGAATCAATCCCCTTTTCCCCTCTTTTCCCTCTTCATGCAGAGGCATCCCTACTGAAAGGTGTTTACAAGAAAAACAAGCAAACACTCACATCCCCCTACCCACCCCTCCCCCCAAAAAAAACCCAAACAACACCTCACACAAACACACCAAAAAAACCCACAAAACACCAAAAATACCAAACGCCAAAATTCATCCTGCTCAAAACCAAACACACAAACAAAAACCCCCCCAAACCACCAAAAAGCAGGAGAGAATTTACAGAGGGGCGAGAGAATCAGGATAATATTTAAATCGGGAAAAGTGAAGGCGAGCTGTTTCCCGTTTGTACCCTGTATGAGGGAGCCAGTGGAGTAACGGGTCTTCCTCAAACCTCGACCAGCCGAAATGCCCTTGGCACCACAGCAGGACAACCCCTCGCAGTGGGTTAAACCAGCAGCCTCCCCCCCCCGGCAGAGGAGCGTCCGGCAGCTCCGGCCGGAGGTTCTCTCCGGGCTCTGCTCCGCGCCCGCTGCCCCGACGGGGCGGGCAGCCCCTAGCTGCGCTGCCGCCGGAGCTAAGGAAGGGTTTCGGTGCCAGGGGCTCATCCTCGATGCTCAGGGGAGGGTCGGTACACCGCAGCGGGCAGAGCACGACAGCTACCGCCGGGTGAAACCAGCCACGGTGGGGATTTCGGAGGGTCTCTGCCTCGTGTCTCTTGAAAGAACCCGGCGCTTGGCTCCCACGGCTCTTCCCAAAGAGAAGCCCGAAGAGCTTTCCCCGCCGGGCTGGAGTGGTGCATGCAGAGGGAAAGGGAAGGTGCCCGAAACCACTGCCTTCCCCTCCGCGGGAGGCTCACGTCTACCAGCCCTGGCAGAGACGAGGAGGGGAGGCTCGGACGGTGAAGAGGATGCATCGACTAAAGCCACTTCCCGGCAAAGAGGTCTCAACATATTATCTTGAGGACACACAATAAAATAGATTGGGGGCTGGAGAGGGGAGAAAAGAAACACGCAGCAGGAGAGGCTGTTCGGTAAGTATTGCTCAGGCTATTCATTCACACGTTTCCGATTATTTCTGCCTAAAATAGCCCTGAAATCCAAACACATCCTTTCCTGGCTCTCTATTCAATTGTAAACCCACTGATGCACATAAATGCCCCGAAGGACCAGGCAGGAGGGAACCCGCTGCTGCTCCGACCGTGCCGCCGGGAAAGCCCTGCCCGGGCACCCCGGGGGGCTCGGGGCAGTCCCGCCTCCGCCGCACTGGTGTCGCTGCGCTTCCCGCAAAGCGGCGAGCCCCGCGGATCTCCCATA